GAAAAAATTGTTGGTCGTTACAAAGGAGCACGCATCAACAATTACTCAAAAGTATCAATACTAAACGATGAATATCTTATTTGTGGCTCCATGGACAAATGTGCTTGTCTTTGGAAAATTAAACATCAACAGGATGGTGATCAACCAATTTTGCCTTCGTATATTTTACCTGAAAACTCTGAAGTCGACTCAGTTGAAGCTGTCAATCAGATGGGTCTTATTTTCACCGGTACCGATCAGGGTAGATTAAGAAGATGGACCTTTGAACCATTGAAACCAAATGAAAACGGCAACTACACAGCATATGATAAAATAGAACTTTACAAAGAAGAGAAAAAGGAGCCAATTACAGACATTGATAGTGAAAACTTTCCTACAATCACCGTTGAAGACTATGAAACTACTCATCCTGTTCGTTCTAAACGTACTAAACGTAATCTTTTTGCAACTCCTGTCCGTGGAGAAAAACGTCCTATCCGTAATAACAAGAGGCGACGTAGTCCCAGAACTCTTTCACCAAAGGGTAAAAAATCAAGAACGAAACCATCAGAACCATTAACTCCAATAACAAACTACTATCAGAAATTACCAAAGAATGATAGCCCAAAAGGACAATCTTAAATGTGATATTAAAACTGGTAACATAATGTTAAATAACGAAAAACAAAGAAAAGAGTAAAAATTGCTGCGAAAATATTTTTGTATAAATACGACGCATTCAGTTGCGGATATCATAACTAGAGTTCAATATGGAAACTAATTTCAAAATTTTTGATTATTAACTGAGGGTTCCTCGATCATTCCCTTCGATGGACGCTTTGCCGCTTTTTGGCTGACGTTTTATCAAATTCAAAAACCACAGGCCAGTAATCAACGCAGAAGACAATAATCACTTTAATTCAAATGGATGAATGATTAGGCTGTAAATTTTATCCTTTAGTCTTTTAATTATTTATGTTCTCTCTTTTAGAGAGTTTCTCAAGTAAAAATAACTCCAATCAACCTTGTTTTTTACAAAGAAATGTAATGATTAATCTTTAATAGTTTTATTCCGTATCAACTAAATTGAACAATGTAAAAGTGAGTCTAAATTTCTGCATTTAATTAGTTTCTTAAATAAAGCTACTTCCAACAATCCAACATGTTTTTATTACAATTGTTTATAAAAGTTTCAATTTGAAATTGAAAAAACTTGTAAAATAATTCCATATTACACTGACATCTATTAACGCTAGTGAAAATTATCTTGCGAGTCCTAGTATCAGGATCAGGGATTAGAGTTTGTTGACAGTTGACTGGAGAATCAAGTGATTGATGATGCTGGATAGTTGATGTTGAAATTGACACGTCTTAATTGTTTAAAAGTTCATTATTACTAGACCAACTAGTGATTTAATTGTTTTAGATAGTTTTATTGTATTGTTTGTTAATTTAAAGTTTTGATAATGGTTAAAACACAACGAATGAAAGTTGCCAATGAAAAGGCATCTAAAAATGTGACTCTCCGAGGAAATGTTCCTAAAACAACTGTAAGTATACTTGATACAAAAAAATGTTTTACTAATCATTAGCTCTTCCTCATCGGTCTGCCTTAATATTAAAGTCAGTCTGGCCAGCTGACCGGTTTATTGAGTCATCCCTTTTTTCATCTTCACCGGCTTGGTAATCAATTTCTTAGCCTTGTCTAATTTTGGTTTCTTCTCTTGCACCTTCCTCGTTTTTACTGTTATAGAAAAATGCAGATGATAAATATCCAGTCGGACCATGGTTATTAGCTCTCTTCATCTTCGTCGTCTGTGGATCTGCTATTTTCCAAATAATTCAATCCATTCGATATGGATTCTAATCAAACAGATGCTATGTGTTAACATAACAACAAAAAATCAACTTTTCTTCATGCCCTCCTTTTTCTTTAGTTAAATAAATTTATTATTTTTCCAAGAATTTGAAGATTTGGACTTTCTTGTTGAGATCTAATGAGAAACTTTTTCTCAAATAATCTCTTGATTAACAGAGTGATTACCCATTTCAAAATCATCGGCAGATTTCAAGAGCTGTTTCAGAGCTGTCTACAAGAAAAGATTATATCAAGAAATGAAGGAATCAACTAGAAATTATCAAGAGTGGCAAGTTTCCTGCTTTCATTTTTGCTGATGAAAGCCTGGCTTTGATTTAATTTGTCTCTCTTAGTCAGTTACAACATCATTTTATAGACTAACTCGGAGGCTGCCAATCATCCAAGGAATCAATCTCATGTCATCACAATGCTATAGTATAAAACTCTTGGTTGTTTACTGATACAAACAATATATTCAATTTTAACAGACAAAAATGAACAAAAGTGCTCGTTTAGTTGTTCAGTAGTATAATCTGCTTGAAGATTCGTCGTCAATGTTTGCAAGCTTACAACTAATCAAATCAACTTTACAAATGCTGTTTAATTACTGAATTATAGTTACAATCACTTAATTTGTTACCAAACCGATTCAATTCAAACGGTAGATTTGAACAGCTTGTAACAAACACCAGAAAGGGTAAAAGATGTACATGCAAAATGATTGTAAAGCTGATGCAGGGATATTTGCCACGAAAAAGCGGCCCTCGTCAAGTTGAAAATATCTTAATATTTGAGATTCAATCATCACCAATCAAATAAAATGGAAAGCAGGAACAAAAGTGACAAATTATATAATCTTAAGCTTAATTGTAGGCGTAAAAGTCAATTAAATCGACTGCTATATATGCTATTCTCTATCCTCCATCATCCCTAGCACAAATATTCAAATAAAAGGGTTAATAGAAAAGGTTAAATATAATAGATTTTAAAGTGATAGACTTCAATTGATAAGACTCAACGGAAGACCCGAAATAGTAGCGTAACTACTCTTTGAATCTAAATTAGTCTTATAATCGCACTAATCTATTTTAACAAATACCTTTTTCCCCCAATTTGTCTGAAAAAAGAGAAGAAAAAAGTAAAGAAAACGTCAATATCGACAGGTAAATATGAATGGTGAGAGTGAATAATCAGGTAAAAATCAATCAACTGGTGCGACACAATCACTGGTTAACTTACAGATCAATTTATAAATTGTTGTTATGTGTGTGAGCTGACACGTTTCATGCAATACTGTATCAAACAACAGAGTAACAGTGATCAGTTGAGTTGATGTGTTGAACTACTTCGAAATGAAGCCAACCATTCACTAATAATTTGAAAGTTTACCACTAAACCAAGTATAAACTTTAAGGTGTCATTACAATATGAATCAATACCTTTCCAGCTAAACCTCCACCTCCAGCTCAAAAACCTCCTTCCTTTTATCTCCACATTAACTTAAAATTTACAATAATTTATTATCTCCTCCTTTAATCATCAGCAACCCCTTATTGTAGTCTCCTTTTCAAATTAATTGCTCATTTAAACATCATGTTTAATCTCACATTCAGTGAACAACAGTATTGTTGTTAACAACTTAACTCATTTGTTTTTGTCACCGTTGCTCTTGTTTACCTTAATTTATCCCTTTTCTCACATCATTTTCACTTGTTTTCAGTCCATTTTGGATTCCAATTCTTAACCAATGGCACCCAATGCCGGCTACAAGGAGATTAATGTTGTCCATCGAGCTTCAGCTGTAAACAACAATAACAATAAAAATGGTTCTTCAAAGAAAGATGTTCAACTTAATGGTGACCGTAAGCAGCGACCATCGAATAACAAAAAGACCAAATCAAAATCAACCTCATCATGGAAACCATCAAACAGTACATTAATGACTTTGTTTTCATTCATCTTCTTCGTATCTGGTCTAATCTTTTATTACATCCCGATTGAAAAGCTAATCAAAGCCAAACCAATTGCTTCAGATAAAGAGGATTTCAAATGGATGGTCACAACTGATCAACATGTTGGTCCCAATGTCTTGTAAGTCTAATCCTTGTAATGCTATTTTACATCCAAAGTTACATCTTCATTTTCAAGTTATTGTTAGACTATTTAAACAGTTGTCTAACAATTAAATTTAACATTAGCCTATTGTTTTGAAAAAGTAATTAGTGAACTTTTGCATGGTGTTTACAATCTTTACCAGTTTCAATCAATTTACATTGAACAGCGCCAATTTGTTACCCATAGATGACAATTGAATCATCTGGATTCAGGTTAATTTACTCCAACCATTGGCTTCATTTTAATGAAAGAATCTATTATTTTTCAGTCAAATTCTGTCAAATTACATTCTGTATTCCAATACAGTTTGTGAAGAAGATAATTTTTGATAGTAAACTGATCGAAACTTTGGCTTCTTCCTGGTCTCAATTGTCATCAAATACGAAGACATATTAGAAATTTCATGGTCTGATTGAAAGTTGATTATCTTATTTTTTGTCGATCACTGTAACTATCTGTTATAACCATCAGACTGTAAATCTTTTCATATTTTTATGTTAATCTATTTTGACAATTGGCAAAATTCAACTTAATTTGTCTCATCATAATCAGATGAGAATCATTAAGTTGATGACCCTTTAAACCCTTTAAACTAGAACACTTGACACGTTTAATAATCACAAACAAAATTGTCCAAAACTGACTATCTCTAGTTAATTAGCATCTATTAATAAATTGATTGTTATGATAATTTTGAGCCCTTAAATATGCACAAATCAATACAGGATCAGGTTAAGTCAATCAACCATTTATAATAACATCAACAAACCCAATCAATCAAATTAGTCGAAACAGCTATCACTGTCCTTTGTTAGTACCAATGAACGATGTCTTCCCAATCGTAATTAAAGTTAACTACAATTTGGATCATGAGGAAGCGAGTGAAACAACGTTTCATCAACATTGTTGTTTAACATAAGATTTAGTAATTGAAAAGACAATACTTTTCCTACCTTACAATAAAAGCTATTTTTTGTGTTTTTTGTTTTTCATTCAATTTCTTTTGAATAATTAAAGGGAAAGTTGATCTAAATTAAAGCTAATTGTGGAATGAAAAAAGAACTGAAAAACAAGTGAAAGCAGAAAATTCAATCAATTGGACGATTCAGCTATTCAATGAATCCTTTTTGTGCAATCTTGATGTCATCCAATTTTTTTCTCAGTTAATTAGTTATCAAATGGGAATCAAAGGTTTGAGTGAAAAGCTGTTTTTTTGTTAGTCAAAAGTGGACTAAAATTTTTTGATTTTCGTTGATTGTTACAGTTCGATACAGTTAATCATTCGTTTTTGTTGTTGGAGTTGGTGACCTCAGCTGAACTTTTATCATATTCAGCTGATTTTTTACAAAAAAAGCAAAACTGAAATACTGTTTAATTACTGTCCAAATAGACTAATTGAACCGATAGTTAACTGGATAGATTTCAGCAAAACTGCAGCAAAAAATCATGTTTACGAAACAAAATTTTCAAGCTTACCTTCAATGTAAACTTCAATGCATTTATAATTCACCTTAACATTTTTACAAAGCTGATTGAATTTAATTGTTACAGCTGCGTTTTAATTTTTAAATTTCAACAATTTCAACGATTTGAACAATTTTACAATTAAGCTTTTATTTCAAATATTGCGGCAAAATTTTGATTTGTTATCTTATGAAATATTTCAATGTTTACTTTTTAAAATTGTATCTTTTGGCTACGAGTAAGAGTCTTGATTTAGTGTTTTATAATTTAATTGATTTATATTTCTTTGATTTTTTATAATTATAGTCTTCATGATGTCCCATGTCATCGACCAGGCTATCGAAGGGAAAGAGCAGCTGGAGCTGAGCCACAACGTTGTGGTACATTGATCTATGATGAATTGGTTTCATTGGAAGAAGCCGCTCGATTAAGACAAATGGCAGCCAAATTGGTTTATGAGATTGGGGAGACTAATCCTTATAGTCGAGAATCAATCAATCTTCATTGGGTTAATCTTCATACTGTGTTCAAGCGAGGTTACAAAGAAAAGGTTTTCAATGAAACGGATTTCAAATTGGTCAAGAAAGCATCAGAAAGAGCAAAGGTAAATATTACTTTCTAATCATATGTAAAATTTTCCAGCATAATTGAGTGTAAATATTTTGTTTGAGTGTGTATCTGATGATAGCATGTTTAGTTTATCCTATTTTCAAGGTAATTCTGGATAATTTCAATAGATCTTGATTGGTGTTAATGACACTTACAGGCTCTTTATTGTAGGAAATGTTTAACTTGTCTTTTCAGTATTAACCTTATTCCGAAGCTTTAATAAGGTGATGAATCTGTTATCTCCAATGAAAACATAAAGTAATGATTTGCAATGGTCAATTGTCTTATATTTAATATTTAACCAATGATTGGGTTACCTTTTAACCTGAATTTTGAAGGATAGCGAAAGTAAGTCGAGTAAAATAAAAAGTCTTTCTTTTGTTCTTTCTTCTGTGAATCGGGAAATCTCAATCGAAATGGTTGATTGAACTTGATTGATGAATGTGAATGACAATAAAATTTTTACTCAAACAGTTTATAATTTTCAGTTCCAACTGGTCATTATGAATTTTATTGTCCTCCTTAATTACTCTAATTAGATTATTCTTTGAAAGTTCAGATGAAATCTTTACTTTCAACTCGTACAATGGTCAATCATGGCTTTAGTAATTTCCAATTTTTGTCTATTTCTTAGAGTCGTACTTAAATGAAACGAGTTTAATTTGCAATTTGTTTAAATTCAATTGGAAAGTGACAGTTATAGAGATTAGCTAATTGCTATAGATGGGTCGTTAGTTTTGAATGAAGGTCTTTGTTTTATTAGTTGCAGTTATTGAATTGTTAAGAAATTATTAAACATTGAATTTCCTTCATTTCTGGTTGTAAGATGCATGAGTTTTTCGGTTCATGAAATTTCATTGTTTTTGTAAGAAGCATGATGAACATGAATAGTTTCATCTAAGGTGGAAAATATTTATTTAAATTTGCTTGGTTATTAATAATTCATATGATTCTTTTTTTAGACTGTAATTGCTGAAACCTTTGGAATACCAAGAAACTCTTTACACTTCACAACGGTTGCACAGTTCACTCGATACCGACCAATGACTCGTTACTCCCAGTTCCGTCATGTCGACAAGGTCCGAGTTCAATCTTTGATTGTTACATCCATCCTCTGGCTATCAACATATGACTACGATTTCGGCGGTGGAACCACTTCCTTCTTGACTGCACCTGACTCTCCACCTTATACACCTTATATTGTTCAGCCAAAAATTAATAGATTTGCTGCTTGGACTTCAGGATGGGAAAATCCTCATGAAGTAATGCAATTACTTTGGGGAGAAAGATTAGCTTTAATCTTCGCATTTACAGTCAATCCAAACTTGGGCGAAAAAAACATGGAGGCTTTAAGAACTTGGGCTCAAGCATTACCAGACAACCCTTTCTATGGCTGATCATAAAGTGCAACAACTCAAAATATTCAACTAATAATCATCTTCACCATCTTGACATATTACCCATCAAATAGATTTGATTATGGAGGGTACATCACTTGAAGCCCGACTATCAGAACGGTGATTCTCTGGAAAACAAGTAACATCAAAACAATAAATCATTCTCATTTACACCTTCCATCTCTTGTTAATACTATTAACATCACTTTATATTGTAAAATAATTTATTAATGACAATGGTCAAAACCAAATGTTTATTTCATAGTCTTGTCATCACTTGTTTTACCAAAATGTTTAAAGAAAGATAAGAAATAAATGAAAAATACTCTTTTCTCTTCCATGTTTGTTATTTCCATTTGCTCGGTTCATTTCGATAAAATTTGCATCCGAATTTGTTTCCATAAAATTAACTTGGCTTTTTAGCTGATCTTTGTGGTTTGGAAACATTCTCAGAGAGTTTGGTTAGTTCTGCTGAAAACTTCTTTACAGTCAATCGGAACATTTCAACATCCTCTTCATCCCATTTTTGTCTGCCATTTTTGTTGTTTGTACAATATCACAGGGTTTGGGTGAAATTATGAAAAAAATTGAAATCATAAAAAGTAAGAAAACAGATAATTAAACTGGTTGTTACGAAAAAGTTAAGATATAAGAAAGTCGAGGCAAAATTTACAATTAAAATTAAACAGCCTGAAATCAATACAACACTTACCCAGATATGCTAACATTATTGGCATCAAGGTGCATGGTTAACTCTCCTAATTTCGTAAAGGCTTGACCAGCAAACGCAAATATTTCTCCAACTCGACCAGAAGTTGAAGAAGACATTATAATAAAAAATAAATAACTAAATACAAATTTAAACTAAAAACACTAAACAGTCAGTAAATATCGACCAGAGAGAAAACAATATTTTCAAAAAATTGGTTCTATGTATCTTCTCCAGGTAGCGATACTGTAGCCAGGATTAAGCTAAAAATGGATTTTAATCCGATGATAATTAATACATTATTAGATGAACTGAAATTTTATGAACTGATTAATCTGACTGAAGTTAATCTTAATTCTTACAAGTGTAAGCTTAAGATTAAGTAACAGTTTAATCAGATTTTATGTTCTGTTGTAGTGAATTTACCAAATAATACCGCTAGATAGCGTTGCTTGATCACATCTGTTTTTTGATGGATTGTCTAATTTCAAACTTTATATTTTTTATTAGTTATCACAATTAAGTAATTAACCAATTTTTGTCATTTCTATTTCCTGGTTGATTCTCCAGTTGCTGTTGGATATTTTATATTCACTGTCAACCCACGATCCTCTGAAGTCCCTCAACTTCTTGATTGCTTAAAATCATCTGTTTTGTACACTGATCGGTAAATTTATTAAATGATAGCAATTCTTCTTCCTATATTCTAATCAACTTTGATAATCAAACCACCTCCACCCAATGTTGATTATTACTCTCATGACAATTGATTGTACGCAATCGTTCTATTTTCATAGTTGACCACCCTAGTTAATCAACTGATATTGAACCAATGATAAACCTCTTCATCGGAGTCTTCTTTCAACTTGCTTGAATTGGATTGAATTTGACCAGTGAATTCATCAAAATTTTCAATGGAGTTTGCAGTTCTTGAACTTGGTTTGAAAAATAAACAGATCTTCAATGTAACATCATTTCTCAGGATTCAAGTTGAAGGTAAACAAACAATTATTTTATTAATTCATGATATACTTACCGTATTTTTTTTATACATAGCCTTCAAAGTAAATTGGGAAAAATTGTGCTCTAGCAAAGATGGTGTTGAAGATGAAGTTTGCCATTCTTTATTCGATGACTGGGAGAAAGTATTCAGTAAAATTTTGATAATTTTGAAAACCAACTTACATGGCAACCAATCCCCCGAGGAAAAAGAGTTTGGACGTCGGCTTGCTCGTATATCTTTACAGACCAGCAACTCGCTATTGGAAATTTTATCCCAAGAAGAGACAAATCTCTTTATCAATGCTTCTCTCGATCGTGAAAAAGTCTATTTCATCAATTCGCTGATCAACCAGATTAATTTGATAAGAAACACTATTGGAGCAGTTATTAATCCTAAAGAAACGGTCGTCAGTGATGTGAACCCACAACATGATAATATTTTCGTGAATTGGAGTGGAATGAGTAAGCAACATATTCTTATCAACTGCATCAAAGAGCAATGTCTACCTCTTGGTCAATATTACATTATTCACAAAATGAAAGAAGATTTAACCTGGTCTACCATAAATGAAACTGCACTTCGAGCTATTCTTAATCACCTCAAAGCTAATGAACTAAATCAAGCCGAAAATATTATTAGTGGCCTGGGATTCGACCATAAGTTTGTGATCAAATTCGTTTTAGAGCACTCTTTTCTAGAAAAATTAAGATTTATTTTAGTGCAAAAACTTAATCAGGATGACCATTTACCTTATGAAAGACTTACGTTAATAGAACGAGTTAATGAACCATTCCATTTAAAGTTGAGTTTTAGTTGTATTAAAGCTGTGAAACCAATTAACCAGGGAGATCTTTTGACCTATGGTATATTTCAAGAAAATGTTGTCAATAGGACTTCGTGCATAAAAGTAGTCGAACCTCACCAAATTTGGTCTTATCTAGTCAAAACCAATCGTTGTAATTTACTTTTGATGTGGATTAATCGATATTTTGGTAACTACAAAACCAATGACTTTCAAGACGGCTCAGTCTTTTCCTCCAAAATATCTCAGCAAATGATTGACGAATTAGTGAGTGATGGTCAAGATCATTTAAGAGAATCAACTTTATCAGCTCTTGGTAATTTTGGTGTATTCAGTTCATACGAAATGATTGATATGCAACTATTAATTCGCCGACTATTTCGTTCTTGTCACTCTGAAAGAACCGGAACATTGACAGGGTTCAAAGATCATCCTTTATTTAACAAAACAACTATGATTACCTATGATAAATTTCATCAAAGGTTTATCGAATATTGTGCAGATAATTCCCTTCATCAAATTCTCTACTGGTCTTATGTGCAGAATGAATTCCAGGTAGATCTTGAAAAATGTACCATTGATAAAAAACTCAAAAACCTTTTGCCTGGAATCAAAACCTGGAATGAAGATCCATTGAAAGACTACTTCACTATGAATTCAATTTTAGAAGTGGCTCGATATTTGTTTGATTTAGAAACTCCTGTAAACCTGCAATCTCTTTTGGACAATCATCTTGGTAAACTTGCTATTTTAGCATCTCAATTTGCTCCAAAAGGAACCTTATCTTTCCTTGGTGCCTCAAAAGATGAACTTTGGTATGCAAAAAAAGAATCTCTGTTACCGGCTATGGAAAAACATTATCCTCTATTATTCTTAGCTATAAAATCTATAAAAGAGCTCAATCTTCCATCTATATCTAGTCCAGGAAGTGAATTTCCGTCCATCTATACTTTATTGAACAACACTATTATTCTTGACGTTACTCGTTTATTCAGTTGGCAAACAACAAACCATTTTAGAAACACAAACGATCCCACAATTCTTGGTGAACTGCCTCATTTTTCTCATCCAAAGCTTGTTGGTCTTGGTTTAAAGGCAAATCTAACATTCATTTATCATTTAAAAAAGGGACGCCCATTCGAAGCTTTTACTCGTTATATGCAAAATAAAACTCAAAGACCTTCACCAAAGAAAATTGAGATTGTATGCAAACGTGCTGCTCTTTTAGCTTTCTATCCCCTGCACCAGTTTAGAGATAACTTCAGCCTGTGTTACTTTTCTTGAACTTTTCAAGCTTAATTCAGCTAATCTACGACTTCATTTAGCTATTGGTTACTTGATTATGTCTCATGCTGGCAAATACTTGGGTCTTGAGACAAAAAATCAATCAATTGAACTTGGAAATTTGTTACGCAAAGCTTATTATCATTCTGAAAAAGGTGCCATCACTCATATCATGGAACTATTGTTAACTTCATTCTCTCGAAAATATCCTGAAGGAGAATGCACAATTGATGAATGTGTCGAATACCAATTGGCTAT